GAATATAGGGCAAGAGAAGAGAGTGTGATGACACTAAATGATGTATAATTTTGGGTCACTCTTAACTCTTGACAAGAATGCAGTATATTCACAAAGGACAAAATTTGAAATTCCTATCCTTCACCTAGAAGAAATAGTATATTCGTACATATAACTTTTTAGTGGGCTGAAAGTTCAGCATTCTTCAGGCTATGTACAGCTGAAGAGAAATTTTAATGATGAAAAGCAATGAAACCTAATCTCCGATAATTTTAAAAATAGATAAACATAACTGGACTTCAAATTCACTTCCCTCTTCACAAAAGAAATGGACTCTACACACTAGTGACTCTGCCAAGGTTTTAACATTCAGTAATATCCCACCAGCGCACACTAAAGAAAATGGAAAGCAAATACCATGCGAAGATTAGACGTTTGCAGTTCTGTCTGCTTTTCCAACTCTCATCACACTCAGACACCAGGGACTGAAACAACATCATTTTAAACTTAAAAGTAAAGTTTGTCATGTGAAAATTGCAGATGAAATAAATCCTAGATAAGCATGCCCTTTTCTCTCAGGGAAAAAAAAAAAAAAGTAAACTGGATTATAAGGATCAAATTGCTCCACTGCTTTGAGACACGTTCAAATATTCAGTTATACACTATGCATTTGCAATTTATGCATGCTTATTACACTTCTGGTTTTGTCATGTACTAATGCTAGATAAACAGATTCTCTGCAAAATAAACTCTATTTAAGAGATGTTAAGGTTAAGATACATGCACATGAAAGCCAGCAACTGCAAAACTAAAGCTGCCTAAAGGTGTTTAGACTGCCCTGCTGGGGAAAGCACACACATTCCCAAATGCAGGAAAAGGGATCAAAATTAAAGGTTAGCATGCCTAGAAAATTGTGTATATTTTATTCGTCCTTGAACATCAAGCTCAGTTATTTGAATTTTTAGTGAAAAAAAAATGTCACTTTTGAAAAGTACAAGCATAAGTAGCAGCAAAATATAGAAAAGTATATTACTTATTTAATTGTAAAAAATACTAATAGCCACTGCATTTTTTGCCCCTTGACAGTGGTTTATGCTTCAAAAAATGACAAGTAGAAAACAATGGTAACTGAATTCTATTTTGTTTATAGTTCCCTAAAAATGATGAAAACATGACCCTTTTTTGGCTGCACTTTTATTGTTATAATTCACAGGCCATACAATTCACCCATTTAAATGTACAACTCAACTTTTCTGCTATTTAGTATTTGTTTTTAGAACTTATTGTATTCACAGAATTGTGCAGCCATCACCACAATCAATTTTAAAATATCTTTATCACCCATAAACAAAACACCATGCTCCTCAACTATCATTCCCAAACCCCTGTTGCCCCCCAGACCTAGGCAAGCATAATCTATTTTCTGTCTTTTAGATATTCCTTTTCTGGAAATTTCATATAAATGAAATCATATAATATGTGGTCTTTTGTACTGGCTTTTCTTTTTCTCTTAGGCTGTTTTCAAGGTTCACCCAAGTTTTAGCATATATCAATATTTTATTTTTTTGGCTGAGTAATATTCCAGTTTATGGACAAGTCACATTTTGTTTATTCATTTTTCAGTTGATTCATACTTAGATTGTTTCTATATTTTGGATTTTGTGAATAAAGTTGTTGTGAATATTAGTGTACAGATTTTTGTAAGAGCATATGTTTCCATTTCCCTTGGGTATATACCCAGAAGTGGAATTGCTGGAGCAAATGGTAGCTCTATATTTAACATTTTGAGAGACTATAAGAATGTTTTCAAAGTGGCTGCATCATTTCACATTCCCAACAGCAATATGTAAAGATTCTAATCTTTCACACCTTCATCAACACTGGATACTATCTGACTGTTTTATTGAAGTCATCCTAATGAGTGTAAAGTAGGATATCATTACGATTTTGACTTGCATTTCTCTAATAACTAATACTGAGATTATTGTCATGTGTTTATTGACGATTTGTTTATTTTCTTTAGATAAATGCCTCTGCCAAATATCTGTCCATTTTGTAATTGAGTTATCTGACTTTTTGTTATTTAGTTGTAAGTGTTCTTTATGTGCACTAAACATAAGTCCTGTGTAAGATATAATATTTGCAAATATTTTCACTAATTTTATGGATTATCTTTTCACTTTCTGATTATATTCTTTGAAGAACAAACTTTTTTAATTTTGATAAAGTAAAATGTATCTACTTTTTATTTTGTCAGTGCTTTTGGTGTTATATCTAACAATTTATTTCCAAATCAAAGGTAACTAATATATACCCCCATGATTTCTTCTGAAAGTTCATAGTTTTAGCTTTTATATCTAGGTATTTCATACAGTTTGTGTTCATTTTTGTGTATGGTATGAGGTAGTCTTCAAATTTCATTGCTTATACATGGATATCCAGCTGTCCCAGTACTATTCGTTAAAAATACTATTCTTTCTCCATGGAATGATACTGGCACCCTTGCTAAGAATCAATTGATGATGGGCATATAACTTTATTTTTGGATATTTAATTATATTACATTGATTTGTATGTCTATTCTTATGTCAGTATCACTCAGTCTTGATTGCTTTTGCTTTGTAGTATGTTTTGAAATTTAGATGTGTGAGTCCTCCAAATTTGCTCTCCTTTAATATTGCTTTTGGTATTTGGGATCCTTTAAATTTCCAAATAAATTTTAGGATCAAGTTGTCAATTTCTTAAAAAAAAAAGAAGCCTGTTCAAATTCTGAAAAGTATTGTGTTAAATCTGTAGATAGATTTGGGAAATATTGCAACCATAACAATAATAAGTCTTCAAATTTATGAATATGGAATACTTTCCATTCATTTTGTTTTCTGACAATGCCTCACAGTATTTAGTGAATAAGTCTTATGCTTCCTTTGTTAAATTCTCACCTATATACTTTGTTCTTTTGATGCTATTCCTAGTGAAATATTTACTTAATTTCATTTTTGGATTTTTCATTGCAAGTTTATAGAAATACAATTGATTTTTGTATATTACTGACATAGTTTAATAGTTCTAACAGATATTTTTAGTGGATCTCTTAGGATTTCATGTATAGGAGATTTCTTCAGCTGCAAATAGAGATAGATTTTACTTATTTCAACCAATCTTATAAAGATACTGTATGTTTCTTTTTATTGAGTAATTGCCCTGGCCAGAGCTTTCAGTGTCTTACAGCAAATTAGTTTATTGATTTAAGATTTTTAAAATTATTTAAATATGGGACGACTTACTTTCAATTGCAAATTTTCTTCAGTATTTCTCATAAGGCAGTTCTGCCAGCAACAAAATTAATCAGATTTTGTTTATCGTGGTGTGTCTATATTTTGCATATTAGTTTTGCTAAATATATGATTTTTGGCTGACTGTTTTTTTCTTTGAGCATTTTAAATACGTTATTGCTTTCTTGCCCTCATTGCTCTGATGAGAAATCAACTGTTACTCTAATGGGGGTTTCCTTTATTTGTGAGTTTTTCTCTTGTTGCTTATACAATTTACCCCTTGTCTTTGTCTTTTCATATTTTACTTTGTCTAACAGCATTTTATTATGTCATTGAACAGACCTCTTTGCATTTATCCTACTTAAATTTTGTTAAGCTTTTTAGATGTGTAGATAATGGTATTAATCAAATTTTAAGTGTTCAGCTGTAATTTCTTGGGTTTTTTTCTTTTTCTTCCTCTCCTCTTTTCTTAGAACCTCATTATATATATTTGATGTTCTTAATGGTGCCCCACATTTCTCTGAAGCTATGTCCATTTGTGTCATTGTTTTCTCTCTGTTCTTCAGATAGTATAAATCTCTATTTACCGCTGATTTAACAAATTCTTTCTTCTGACAGTTCAAATCTATTGTTGAGCCTCCCTAGTAATTTATTTTTTTGTTCATTGTAGTTATGTGCCTTTTAACTCTAGAATTTCCATTTGGTCCTTAAAAAAAAAATACACTTTCTGTCTCTTTATTGGTATTATCTATTTGATAAGACTTTGTCAGCATAACTTCATTTACTTCTTTAAACATGGCTTTCTTTAGTTCTTTGAACATATTTTTAATTGCTTCTTTGAAGTCTTTGTTAAATATGGCATCTGGTTGCTCTAACAGGAAGCTTCTGTTGACTTACTCTTTTCTCATGTAAGAATTTCTTGTTTTTTTGTATGTCTCGTATATATTTGCTAATGAAACCTAGATACTTTAACAAATATATTGCAACAAAATTGAGAACTAATCTCTCTCTATGCAGGGCTTATTACTGTGGTTTTCTTGTTCATTTTAGTGACTGTTTAGATTATTTTAGTAAAATCTGTTTCCTCTGACAAATTGTTTAGATTATTTAGTAAAATCTGTTTTCTAGCAGATATGTAGAGACTCCGATGTCCCACCTCAGAGGGCACAGCCTTGTGTATGCACATAGTCACCTTGGGGATACAATGGTTTTAGCAGGACAACATTTGACTGTCTCTTTTTCTAATCACACCAGAAGAGAATTTCACTAATTGTTAGTTGATTGCTTTCAATTTCCACAATGTATTTTTTTGACATTAATTGTTCCACAGACTGATCCAATTAAAATTCGGCCTCTTTGCAGTGTTACTTCACGGACTCAGTGATGGAGAGTTGTTGTGACTCCAAGCAAAGTTCTACTTACTTGTTTCTTTTCCTGGTTTTTTCTTGTAAAGTAATTGGTACATGATTTGGCTCTTATCACCAATGAAGCTACAATTCTCTTTTCAATTTCTGTTTACTACAAACACCATTGTTTTTGAAAGTATCCTTGGGCTTAATATTCCCACACTTTGTTGCCAATAAAATAATTTCTTTTAGGGAGAGATTTAAGCTGTTTGTTAGGACCTGCCTCTCTGCCTGGGCAAAATATCTGAGCCACGGTTCTGGAGCTGGGATCAAGGACAGTGCCATCCTTCTTTCAGAGTGCCACCACTACTTTAGTAGCTGAGTACATAGAAGAGAGAGGTGGTTGCCTCGGGACCTAGTTTTATTAGCTTTTTCTTTCCCAACACTTAATCTCCACTTTATGACCAAGACAGTGAGGGTGAACAGGAATCCCATACTTTCAGCTCACTACACCTTAGTTGAAGCTTTGATACCACAAATAGGGCCGGAAAGAAGAAAATAACACTGCTGCTTTTTTTCAGGAATTATCCTCTTTGACAGGTAACTTGAAGTCAGGATATAAAATGCTGATGTCCCAACTTTCTGGAGAAGATAGTGTAGTCCTTAACAGGAAGCTGGAGCTAGAGGAAACTTTGTGTTCTTGACATTTCCTGGTTGGGATGGAGTTTCCATTACACTAAGCTGGAAGGGGAGAAGAGTGGAGAGTTTGTGGTTCAAATACCACTGTTTTTACAGAGTCTTTATAATAGAGTATGTTGAATATTTCATTATTTACTACATATTCTTAGATGCATTTCCAGATACCCTAAACATTATTGTTATCTTTGTTGCTATTGTTTGTAATTTTTACCAGTTTTCCTGAGGAGTGTGTCCAAGGGCTCCTCACATTGCCATACTGAAAATGGAAACCTTGACTCTTTATATTCAGGAATTCAAGGTATTTCCAACATCAATATTGCAAATTATTAAAGATGCCCATTGACCTTTGCAAGGCTCAAAAAAATAAATTCCTAATTTTAAGTCTTACTGATGATCACAAACCGGTATCATATCCAAAGTTATAAAGAAACCAAAAGGAAGATTCTTTAGCTCTGGGACTGCCGTATTCCATCAAGCAGTAATAGTAACAACTCTCATGATACTTTTCAAAGCCTAGCACATTGTTTTACATTAATCCTGACTGTAATTTTTGTGGTGGTTACTATAATTTATATTTTACAGATCAAGGGACATGGAAGAGATTGTGCTTTTCTAGTGTCTGTTCTTCCCAAGGGCCCTTTTCTATTCTCCTCTGCATTGTAGGGGCTGGCTTACAGGCTGCTTGTAACACACTCCACTGTCAGCTGAATTCTGGATGGGATCAGACAATGTGGCATTATTGGGAGTTGGGAGGACTGAAGAAAGAGATAAGTCAGGTTATTTCTGCCTCTCCTTCTTTGCATCTCCTTTCTCTCCTTCCATTTCTATTACTAGCTATATCTGTTGTATGGTTTCATTTGACATTAAGTGGGACCACCTAATCGTCACATTTTCTGAGTGATCTAGACCCTGCCCTGCAGCAGCACTGCTCCCTCCCTCTGACCTTCTGTCTCTGGGTATCTAGTGACTTTCTGGTGGGACTTATTTCTGGGGAAACTTACATTCTCTGTTTCCCTTTAAATCTCTCTGAGCATCTATGTAGCCCAGTTTCCAAATCAAAAATACATTTCTTTTTTTTCTTTCTTCCTTTTTTTTTTTGAGGTGGAGTCTCGCTCTGTCACCCAAGCTGGAGTGCAATGGCGACATCTAGGTTCACTGCAACCTCCGACATCTAGGTTCACTGCAACCTACGCCTCCGGGATTCAGGCTATTCTCTTGCTTCAGCCTCCTGAGTAGTTGGGACTACAACGTGGGGTAATTTCCCCACATTGGCCAGGCTGGTCCCTCCACTTGAGACATCTCCTGACCTCAAGTGATCCGCCTGCCTTGGCCTCTCAAAATGCTGGAATTACAGGTGCAGGAGTAAGCCACTATGACCAGAAGAAAAATAAATAAATAAATAAACAAACAAATAAATAAGTAAATAAAAACACCTTTCTTAAAATGCACAAGTACCTTCTGTTGTGGGTTAAGTTCCTGTGGATTCATTTACTTAGATGTTAAGTGGCAAAAATAAAACTTGAACCCAGAAGAGCCAAATGGACTACCAAGACTGTTTCCACTTCTATGACAGAGTAGCCTTCCAGATCACTCAGTCCATTGCTGATTCTGTTTGGGAAAGGGGTTATTCTGTTTAATGTAGGGAGAGAAAGAAGCATAATATTGTGAAGTTAAAATTCTGTATGCTACAAATGTAATGAATATCACTTACTGTTCTGTGATTATTCTAAAACTGTATCCACATCTTGTCATGGGTTTTGTTTATTGTTACCAACAATAAATGGCAAATGGGAGTATGTATTCATTGAGATAATATTTCATTTAAAAAATGTTAAATCAAAAGTATTTGACCACCTTGTCCCTACATGACTTCCAATTTGTTTCCAATCATTTGCCAAATAATTTTTAATTATGTATTATCACATTTTATACATAAGGTATAGAACATAATACACAAGAAAGAACTATTCAAAAATCACTGAACACCAATGTGCTCTTTTAATCATGAAGTAGATTCAAATAAATTTGGGGTATTTATTTTAAAAGTTTAAAGACTCTATTAGGCTGTATTTGATCACATAAAATACACATTTTACTTTCTGCCACATTAACATAGGAGGAATCAATTTCTGAAATAATTGTTAGTAATATATTTTATTATTTGTCTTTTCTCATTAATAAAGATTTGATAGCTGACAAGAAGCAGTAAAAGATTAGAGAAATATATATAAATTATACAAATGCGTATGCTTCTCCTGGTTTCTGAATACTATTTTGTTAATAAAGAAAAAAATGTAATTCACATGACTATTTTAAGCTAATTTTATCTTTTTTTCTTAAAAGGGGTATTAGTTTGATTCTAATACTATAATTACAAAGAAAACCAATACTCTGCCTTGTCCCTAATTTATCTCTTTCCTTTATCTAGAAGTATATAATTTATGCCATTTAAAGTTCATTATTTTTTTCTTATTATTATACCTTCAACAAGCATATATTAAGGGCCTGCACATGTGCATATCTAGTTATCAGAGTTGCATTTAATTTTAAAAGGCAGTTATTGTCATTTCCCAACTAACAAAACCAAATTAAAATCTCTATTGACAGAATAGACCAAAATTGAGAAATAGCTGATATAACACAACTCTCTACACAAAAATGTATGCGCGCACACATACACACACTTGTTCATAGACATAGCATTCATGATGACAAAATTCTAGAAATTTTAACCAAATATGTATGCTAAGTATCCTGAAAAAGCAGATTAAATAAGCAGTGATTTCTTATTATGGATTCCCCAATTTAAATAGCTACGAAAAGCCATCTGGGCATATGCACAGATGCACAGCTTGGCTGCAAGCACAGCAGTTTACAGAAAGTCATATGCTAAATTTGGACATTCAGGTCTTCCCTTTGCTCTACATTTTCAAAGGCAGATTATGAAGAAAAGAGTTGAGAATGTAATGCACATGTATAGTTAATAAGGTTTTTACACTTAACTTATTTGAAATCGATTGCAATTTAAAGATGCATTTATGTGCTCTCCAACCCCATACTGAATGTATCATGGGAAAGCAATTTCAGAGTAATTGCCTCATAAGACGTAGTTAAGTTAGTTCCTAAAATATGTAAATCAAACTTGTTCCTTGACTAATTGTGATTCAATCTATGATTAAATTTAATTCCTCTTGTTTTACAAATCTAGTATTTTCTCAATGGAAATGCAGCTATGAATATAAATAAATTAAGACAACATATTTTGTTACTTAGTGGTTCCCAACCAAGAGTTATTTTTTCCTTCAAGACAACATTTAGAAACATCTGGGTATACTTTCAGTTGTCATGACAGAGAGAGGGGCCGGCCTCTAGTACATAGATACCAGGTAAGTTTCTGAACATTCTGCAATGCACAGGACAATTCCCCTTGTAACCCAGGCTAAAACATCAGTAATTCTGAGATTGAAAACCCTGTTATGGAGTAACATTTGATGATTATATTTTATTGTCATGTCACTACATCATAAATATACGCAGGGCCAGTTTGGTGAGTTATGTGTAAAAACAAGAATTCACTGAGTTGGACTAAAAGCAGCTTGGAGAAGGAAGAGTCAGTAAGCGTGGACTCTGATTGGAGAAATTTTTCAGTCTGAACATGTGAGACAAGAACAGACGGGTTAATAATAAGCAGCATCCAAGTGACATGTGAGATAATATAATATTTCACATGTATTTAAATGGAGACCCAGAGGAAAGAAATGGGTCAAAAATAATTTAAAGGCATAAAGATAAAATATTTTCCAGATTTGGTGACAAACATCAGCTTAGAAGTCTAAGAAGTTCAGTGAATCTCAAGAATGTTAAAAGCAAAGACAAGGACATCTAGAAACACATAGTCAATCCTCTGAAGGAAGATAAAAAGTAAATCTTAAAGAAAGCCAGGAAAAAAGAGAAGACAAACCGCATACAGAAAAACAATGGTATAAATCATCTCGACCTTCTCTTTAGATCCTACAAAGCCAGAATAAAAAAGAAAATGACATGCTTCGAAAGATGAAAACACTGTTGTTCACCCCAAATTCTATATTCAACCAAAATATTCTTTAAAAATACAGGCATCATTAAGACATTTTCAGATAAATGAATACTGAGAGAATTTGCTGTTAGAAAACTGTGCTACCCTCCTCAGCAAATATACAAGAACAGAAATTATAACAAACTGTCTTTCAGACCACAGTGCAAACAAACTAGAAGTCAGGACTAAGAAACTCAATCAAAACTGCTCAACTACATGGAAACTGAACAACCTGCTCCTGAATGACTACTGGGTACACAACGAAATGAAGGCAGAAATAAAGATGTTCTTTGAAACCAGTGAGAACAAAGATACAACATACCAGAATCTCTGGGACACATTTAAAGCAGTGTGTGGAGAGAAATTTATAACACTAAATGCCCACAAGAGAAAGCAGGAATGATTTAAACTGACACTCTAACATCACAATTAAAAGAACTAGAGAAGCAAGAGCAAACACATTCAAAAGCTAGCAGAAGGCAAGAAATAACTAAGATAAGAGCAGAACTGAAGGAGATAGAGACACAAAAAACCCTCCAAAAAATCAATGAATCCAGGAGCTAATTTTTTGAAAAGATCAACAAAATTGATAGATCGCTAGCAAGACTAATAAAGAAGAAAAGAGAGAAGAATCAAATAGACGCAATTAAAAATGATAAAGGGGATATCACCACCGACCCCACAGAAATACAAACTACCATCAGAGAATACTATAAACACCTCCACGCAAATGAATTAGAAAATCTAGAAGAAATGGATAATTTCCTGGACACTTACACTCTCCCAAGACTTAACCACGAAGAAGCTGAATCCCTGAATAGACCAATAGCAGGCTCTGAAATTGAGGCAATAATTAATAGCCTACCAAAGAAAAAAAGTCCAGGACCAGATGGATTCACAGCTGAATTCTACCAGAGGTACAAGGAGGAGCTGGTACCATTCCTTCTGAAACTATTCCAATCAATAGAAAAAGAAGGAATACTCCCTAACTCATTTTATGAGGCCAACATCATCCTGATAACAAAGCCTGGCAGAGGCACAACAAAAAAAGAGAATTTTAGACCAATATCCCTGATGAACATCGATGCAAAAATCCTCAATAAAATATTGACAAACCGAATCCAGCAGCACATCAAAAAGCTTATCCACCATGATCAAGTGGGCTTCATCCCTTGGATGCAAGGCTGGTTCAACATACGCAAATCAATAAATGTAATTCAGCATATAAACAGAACCAAAGACAAAAACCACATGATTATCTCAATAGATGCAGAATAGGCCTTTGACAAAATTCAACAGCCCTTCATGCTAAAAACTCTCAATAAACTAGATATTGATGGAATGTATCTCAAAATAATAAGAGCTACTTATGGCAAACCCACAGCCAATATCATACTGAATGGGCAAAAACTGGAAGCATTCCCTTTAAAAACTGGCACCAGACAGGGATGCCCTCTCTCACCACTCCTATTCAACATAGTATTGGAAGTTCTGGCTAGGGCAATCAGGCAAGAGAAAGAAATAAAGTGTATTCAGTTAGGAAAAGAAGAAGTCAAGTTGTCCCTGATTGCAGATGACATGATTGTATATTTAGAAAACCCCATTGTCTCAGCCCAAAATCTCCTTAAGCTGATAAGCAACTTCAGCAAAGTCTCGGGATACAAAATTAATGTGAAAAAATCACAAGCATTCTTATACATCAGTAACATAAAAACAGAGAGCCAAATCATGAATGAACTTCTATTTACAATAGCTTCAAAGAGAATAAAATACCTAGGAATCCAACTTACAAGGCATGTAAAGGACCTCTTCAAGGAGAACTACAAACCACTGCTCAGTGAAATAAAAGAGGACACAAACAAATGGAAGAACATACCATGCTCATGGATAGGAAGAATCAATATCATGAAAATGGCCATACTGCCCAAGGTAATTTATAGATTCAATGCCATCCCCATCAAGCTACCAATTATTTTCTTCACAGAATTGGAAAAAAACTGCTTTAAAGTTCATATGGAACCAAAAAAGAGCCCGCATCTCCAAGACAATCCTAAGTCAAAAGAACAAAGCTGGAGGCATCACGCTACCTGACTTCAAACTATACTACAAGGCTACAGTAACCAAAACAGCATGGTACTAGTACCAAAACAGAAATATAGACCAATGGAACAGAACAGAGTCCTCAGAAATAACACCATACATCTACAGCCATCTGATCTTTGACAAACCTGAGAGAAACCAGAAATGGGGAAAGGATTCCCTATTTAATAAATGGTGCTGGGAAAATTGGCTAGCCATAAGTAGAAAGCTGAAACTGGATCCTTTCCTTACTCCTTATAGGAAAATTAATTCAAGATGGATTAGAGACTTAAATGTTAGACCTAATACCATAAAAACCCTAGAAGAAAACCTAGTTAATACCATTCAGGACATAGTCATGGGCAAGGACTTCATGTCTAAAACACCAAAAACAATGGCGACAAAAGCCAAAATTGACAAATGGGATCTCATTAAACTAAAGAGCTTCTGCACAGCAAAAGAAACTACCATCAGAGTGAACAGACAACCTACAGAATGGGAGAAAATATTTGCAATCTACTCGTCTGACAAAGGGCTAATATCCAGAACCTACAAAGAACTCAAACAAATTTACAAGAAAAAAACAAACAATCTCATCAAAAAGTGGGCAAAAGATATGAACAGACATTTCTCAAAAGAAGATATGCATACAGCCAACAGACACATGAAAAAATGCTCGCCATCACTGGCCATCAGAGAAATGCAAATCAAAACCACAATGAGATACCATCTCACACCAGTTAGAATGGCAATCATTAAAAAGTCAGGAAACAACAGGTGCTGGAGAGGATGTGGAGAAATAGGAACACTTTTACACTGTTGGTGGGATTGTAAACTAGTTCAACCATTATGGAAAACAGTATGGTGATTCCTCAAGGATCTAGAACTAGATGTACCATATGACCCAGCCATCCCATTACTGGGTATATACCCAAAGGATTATAAATCATGCTGCTATAAAGACACATGCACACGTATGTTTATTGTGGCACTATTCACAATAGCAAAGACTTGGAATCAACCAAAATGTCCATCAGTGACAGACTGGATTAAGAAAATGTGGCACATATACACCATGGAATACTATGCAACCATAAAAACGATGAGTTTGTGTCCTTTGTAGGGACATGGATGCAGCTGGAAACCATCATTCTCAGCAAACAATCCAAGAACAGAAAACCAAACACCACATGTTCTCACTCATAGGTGGGAACTGAACAATGAGATCACTTGGACTCGGGAAGGGGAACATCACACACCGGGGCCTATTATGGGGAGCGGGGAGGGGCGAAGGATTGCGTTGGGAGTTATACCTGATGTAAATGATGAGTTGATGGGTGCTGACGAGTTGATGGGTGCAGCACAGCAACATGGCACAAGTATACATATGTAACAAACCTGCACGTTATGCACATGAACTTAAAGTATAATAATAATAATAATAATAATTAAAGAAAACTGTGCTACCAGAAATGAATAAGAAACTTAATCAGGTTGAGGTAAATTATACCAGACTAACAGGAGGAAAACTACATCTGAAGAAAAATAAATAAATAACTATAGTGGACCCCAGATGGAAAATAAATGATAGCTATAAAGGACTAAATTTTTTGCCTCCTAGATAATGTAAAAACAAATAACTACTTAAAACAAACAAAAAACCTACCATTTTAAATAGGGGTTTATATTGTTTGCAGAATTAGAATACATGAGAGTAATAGCCAATGCACAGGGGATGATAACTGTAATTATACATTTGAAAAGTTCATATATTTTTAAATTATGAATATGAAATTATTTGGTAATTTTAAAAAGCAAAGAGATAAATTAAAGATGTATTTTCTTTGTAACTCCTATAGCAACCACTAAAATACAATAAAAATCTGTTTAGCTAAAAAATCAATATAGGAATTAAAACCTATGTAAAAATGTAGGCCAATATAAAATAAAGTGAGAAAAAATAAACAGGAACTAAAAAATAATGAAACACACACACACACACAATAGCAAATATTTAGACGTACATACATCAATAACTGCATTAAAGGTAATAGACTAAACACTTCACTTGTAAGACATAGATTATCAGCCATGATAAGAAAAAAGTAAGATCCAGCTATCAGTTGTCTGAAAGAGATGCACGTTAAATATAAAGACACACATAAATTGAAATTAAAAGAATAAGGACAGATATACTATGCCAATAATAACTATAAAATAGATAATGTGTCACTATTAATATCAGAAAAATTAGACTTCAAGATAAGGAGTAGTAGCAGAGATAAAGACAACATTTTATACTTGTAAAAGGTTGAATTCACAGGAAGGCATAAAAATTCCAAATGTATCTGTGCCTAATAATATTTCAAAATATGTAAAGAAAACTTGACAGAAATAAAAGAAGAAATTGATGAAAACAATTTTCAGAATTTTATAAATTATTTTGTTTATATTTTGTAATAAGTACATTGTGTCAAACACGAGACAGAAATGAGAAAATCTGTCCCAGAAAGTGGTAACCAGAAGCCAGTTTGGATTTACCAATATGACATGGGTAAATTGAAAATGCTTATGAATCAACAAAAAGATAATTCTTCACTGTCTGTATCAAAGTGGGCACAAAAGCTTAAAGTAGAACGATCTGTGGCTTGCTCAGTTTTCAATCCCAATCTCAGTTATTTGTTTTCAACACTAATTGACATAACACAGCAATTTATTTTTGGTCTATTATTTTCACAAGACAAGCAGCCTAGTGTCTTCCAAAATTTTCAGACCATGGATCATAATGAGAAATACACTTCACGTTGACTTCCAACACACACATGCACACCCACTCATACACAAACCTAGAATAAAAAATGTTTCCTAAAACAATACTCCCCCTTATAATGTATAATGGCAACCCTCTCTATTCCACTCTATACTGTTTCAGTTCTAATCTATTCTACTTAATTCTATTTTATTTATTAATGCAGGACTTAACTCATTAAATTTACTTTAGGACCTATTAACGAACCATGATCCACAATTTTAAAATTTATATTTGGACTACAATCAATATGGTTGGTTAGACTAAACCACTAAAACAAAATATATTAAAAAGTGAAGTATCTGAAATCATTAAGCTATTTAGTCATATTATGAATATGATTATTTAACTAGATTTTACTTAATTAGAAAAACATTGATAATCTGGTTCTTAATACTGGTTCATCCGTGAGGTAGGCATGATTTTCAGTGCACCATTCAATATATGTTACACTTTTTTCTGTTCAGCTTTACAAGTTATATGTAGAAAGAGTGGTTTATTGAATGAATCTTGAGAAGTTAAAGTTTATAATAAAGATGTATGAAAGGAAGGAGGATTAGAAATAGTGAAGAAAAGAATTGGAATAGAATAAGGTCAACAGCAGAAAATAATACGGAGAATACAAGGCAAAAAATAGAAAATAAGACATACATAAAAGTTTGATAAATCAATAAAGAAATTAAAAATGTAAGAAATTTGATGTTACTTGTGTGGCATGAGTAGGATGTCAGTATCAACGGCCTTTCAACAGCAGAACTTACCAAGAGTGATATCATAATTGTACAGAACACTTCTTGCTTGTCAGGTACTGTTCTAGGTGCTGAACATGTGCTAACTTGTTTATAGGCTCGTAACAGTTCTAGAAGTTAGGTGCAGTTATTGCTCCCATTTTATTGAGAAGGAAACCAAGATTTTCAGGATCACAGATCTTATAAGTGTAAAGCCACAATGTAAGCAAGAATTATGTATCACTAAAGCCCACATTTACACGCTACAGTAACTACATTGTGAGCTAGACACTATTATATTCAATGTTGTCTTTTTTTTTTTTTTTTTTAAGACAGTCTCACTCTGTCACCCAGACTAGAGTACACTGGCGTGACCTCGGCTCACTGAAACTTCCACCTCCCGGGTTCAAGCAATTCTCCTGTCTCAGCCTCCCGAGTAGCTGGGACTACAGGCGCATGCCACCATGCCTAGCCAATTTCTGTATTTCTAGTAGAGACAGAGTTTCAACATATTGGTAAGACTGGTCTCAAACTCCTGACCTCAGGTGATCCACCTGCCTCAGCTTCTTAAAGTGCTGGGACTACAGGCATGAGCCACCGCGCCCAGCTTCATGAGCCTTTTAAGAGTCACACAAGCCAGTAACTGACAGAGTAGTGCTTCAAACTCACAAGACTCTGAGTTCTACTAAGAATTATGTTATACAGAAACTTACTATGAAATTGACTATGCTCTCCACACTCTGCTGCATGCTTTACCTACTTTGCAATATGACATTTAATTCTTGGAGTAGCCTTGTCTAAAGCTATAATTATGATCTCTGTGTTTAGTATGAAAGAAGACATTCACACAGAGATGATTTGATAGGTTATATAAGATCAAAAATATAGTAAATAGGAGAACCTGGATTCAAACCCAGGCCATCTTCTTCCAGTGCATTCAATCTTATCCACTGACAATGATACAGCCACGGGATAATGTATTTGGAGTACAGATTTGAAACTCATAGAGACTGCATGTTTTATGAAAAATTTTAAGAGTCATACAAGCATGAGAGAAAAATAAGGATAAGGCTAAAGGAAATAGAGATTATATTTGTTGAAGAATCTTTGCAGCTCTCCCATTTAACAGTGCAATAAAGAACAGTTATATTTTAAAAATTAGTATATCATCAGTACCAGTAAAGTTGTACACAGGCCTGCTGGACTGAGAAAGGACTGTAAGTACAATGCAGAACTATGCTTACTGAATATAGTAGGTCTTTACACATATGAAAAGAGAAGAGTCAAGACTGCTTATTGAGGACAGCAAAAAGCTTTTTTTGTATTTTTCACTTCATACCAAATACCAAGATAAATTTCTGATATACTGAATAGTTAACAAATAAATAAAATCATATATAAATAAAATATGGGTGAATCTATATCTTGTCTAAGGTATTTTTGGGATATAAAAGATAGAAAAATTCATGAAAAATGTTTAAGTTGAAAAAGAGCACTTTAATATAATAAATGCAATCAAATAGGAAACTTGGGAGAAGTAAATCTACAAAATATTTATTAAAATAAATATAAAATGCACTAAAATTCCATTAGGAAGATAGACTGTGAAAGGTATTTTGTGAACAGCACAATGACCTTTGATCATGCAGGGCATAGGTGATATGGTTCTTCAGCATCAAAATGATTAAGAGGTTGGGCTCTGAAATTTGAAACCCTAGGCTAGAATCCAGTTTCACTCAACTTAATGGCAACTGGGTGGCCTTGGTCTAATTAGCAGCACAAAGTTCCTTTAGGAATGTAAATGTTTTCAATAATGATCCAACTTATTTAATTTATACTTTTTCTGTGTCTTTGAACTTTTTTTCAACTACAATGTCTGGATGATTTTCTTTCTTTCTCTCTTTCCTTCCTTCCTTCCTTCCTTCCTTCCTTCCTTCTTTCTTTAGCCCAGCTGGAGTGCTGTCGCAGAATCTCAGCTCACTCCAACCTCCTCCTCCTGGATTCAAGCAATTCTTCTGCCTCAACCACCCAAGTAGCTAGGACTAGGCACAAACATGCCCAGCTAATTTTTGTATTTTTAGTAGAGACGGGGTTTCATCATGTTGGCTAGGATGGTCTCGATTTCTTGACCTTGTGATCCGCCCACCTTGACCTTCCAAAGTGCTAGGATTACAGGCATGAGCCACCACGCCTTGGCAGTTTTTCTTGTTCTTTTCTTTCTTGCTTGCTTTCTTGCTTTTTTCTTTCTTTCTTTCTTTTTTTGAGATGGAGTTTTACTCTGTCACCCAGTCTGGAGTGCAATGGCACGACCTTGGCTTACTGCAACTTCCGACTCCTGGGTTCAAGCATTTCTTCTACCTCAGCTTCCCGAGTAACTGGGATTACAGGCGTGTGCTACCACTCCTGGCTAATATTTGTAGTTTTAATACAGACAGTGTTTCACCATGTTGGCCAGGCTGGTCTGGAGCTCCCATCCTCAGGTGATCCACCAGCCTCAGCCTCCCAAAGTGATGGGATTACAGGCGTGAGACATGGTGCCCAAGCTCTGCAGGGTTTTCTTACTTCGTATTCCTGTGGACTTGACACATATGTATTTCTTATAAGCACCTCTATTCCTGCTTTCTTCCTTCTTTAACAAGGAGTTAAATCTTGTTTAACTCCTCTTCTTTTATTTGCTGATCTTTTTATTTTGAAGATGATTTTATTGACGAAATCATTCAAAATTAGCATAATTAGTAGATATGAAATAATAAACAGCATGAGAAGAGTCAAATTTTGAAATTTTCAGAGGGAATTCTGAAGAAGGTAGGATTGCCCATAGTTAAATTTCAATATCAGATAAAAAATTAGTATTTGTGACATACCTATACTAAAGTGTTTTGACTAAATATGACAGTAAAAAAAGAAGGGCATGTAGCAAATAAAACAATCTTGACTTTGGAAAATTCAATTGAAAGCTGACGAATTTATTAATTTTTCTAAAATGACAATCTGAATTTGGGAAAAGATGAAGTTGAAAACATATGTTAAAATAAATCAGGCTACTATAAAGAGAAGAATGTGATATAAAGAACTGGACTTAGAACTCTTAAGTCAGAAGCTGTAGAAAAGTCATACAAGGCAGGCAGTTTTGTTTAGTACAAGTAAAATGGTTGTCTCTAAGGCATATCAGATATAACTTGGAAGATTTATTGCAAGGATGAGTCACAAAGGGAAAAAAAGATTGGATTTACAATTATATATAATCCAAAGACATAGAAGTCTAGAAAACTATTCGTTTATGAATGGAAATAGAAGGTTGATGCAGTATATCAAGTCAAAAGTATGTCAAATGCATTTGTTGAAATGGATGTAAGTATCCTAAAATTCCATTAGCAGGACAACGCCAACCATGTGGAAGAGTGGCTTTATCAAATTTTTTAAAGACAATGCTTATATCAAAGCTTTTTAAGGCAATAAGAACAGTTTTTCTAAAATATCTATGTGTGAACTCAACATATAAAATAGAAAGCATTAGAATTGCAGTAATAGAAGCAGCAGAGGGTTTCAAAGTCCCAAGAAACACAACATTAGATATTTAGCAGCCTTCATGAAACACTAAAAAAAGGATGATCTTCTTTGCTACATTAAAATGAGAAAACAAACAGACAAAAATATTCAAAACTGAAAACAATTCTACTAATAAGTACTAAAGTGTCAATTCCTAACTAATTCTTATTTTCAGATATACATTTTTAAATAAATTATTCTACCTGTTGATCACTTGCTTTACTGGTTCCTTACACAAAAGCTTAGTATACATATCAATTATTCAGCAATTGTAAAGTTTATGATGTCTCCCCTGCTTCCTCCAAAGAGGCTCTAAAGAACCAGAAGAGATTTTCCTTTTTTAAATGTGTATTTCTTTTTTTAATTTTAGTTTAAGTTCTCGGATGCATGTATAGAATGTGCAAGTTTGTTACATAGGCCTACATATGCCACAGTGGTTTGCTGTACCTATCAACCTTATCAACCTGTCATCTAGGTTTTAAGCCTCACATGCTTTAGGTATTCTTCCTAATGCTCTCTGTCCCCTTGTTCTCAACCCTCTGGCAGGCCCTGGTGTGTGTTGTTTCCCTCCCTGTGTCTATGTGTTCTCATTTTTCAACTCCCACTATGAGTGAGAATATGCGGTGTTTGGTTTTCTGTTCCTGTGTTTCTTTCCTGAGAATGATGGATTCTGGTTTCATCCATGTCTCTGCAAAGGGCATGATCTCATTCTTGCTTATGGCTGCACAGTATTTCACGGTGTATATGTGCCACATTTTCCTTATCCAGTTTATCATGAATGGAAATTTGGGTTGGTTCCAAGTCTTTGCTATTGTAAATAGTGCTGCAATAAACATATGTGTGCATGTGTCTTTATAGAAGAGATTTTATCAAAAACATATTTTGGGCAAAGGCACATAAGTTCATTAATAAGGACAGGAACTACAGGCAAGAAGGAATAAAATTTGTGATGTATGGAGTCAAAGGCACTGGTTTTCCTGATTGTTATGTTATCAAAACTAACAATTATTTTGTAAAAACTAAAAATTTTGAAATAATACATTGAAATTATCTAAATCCTATGCCAAGGTAACATTATTACTGGAGAGATAAGAATAATAAGGAAATGAACAAAAGCCTAATTCTTATTTCAGTGTAGCAAAATATGGGTATAATTTAAAAGATGAAGACATCTTTCACAGAAAGAAAATATAAAGCTCTAGGATTTAAAGAACATATATAGGTATTTCCAATGGCAAAATCATTTAATGATGTTCAAAGGCAGAAAGTCGAATTTGAAGAAACAGCAGGCAATAGAAATACTTCAGCTTCACATACATTGTATAAGCCTTTCCAGATATTCTGGTCCCAGGTTTTAATTTATTACACTCTCTTCCTAGGTATTTACACCTGCTCCCAGGACTTTTTCCCTATGCTGTTAGTGTCCACAAATAAAACAAGCATTTTGACATTTCACAGAAGTAATGCGGAGCGAGGTTGG